AAAAACAAGGACATTCCAAAGTCATAGTTTGACTGATGGAGTTTGATTGATGTCTATCTGCGGTTGAACTGCTTATTTCCTATTATTACAAAATAATTTCTTGTATACTAATTACAAAAACAGTTGGGGTTCCCACGCGTCCTGGAAAACCTGTATATCTAGAGAGTTGTTGTCCTAGAAAACTTTAATTGTATTGTAGCCTGTCACTCCGAGGTAAACTGTATTTAAATCAAATAATTAACTGCAGTTAAATCACCTGAGACGCTGCAGAAACATCGGCTGCGGTGAGAATAATGGAAAGTGAACATAAACACACTGACCAACCTACCTGTAATGAACCTGACACACTTCATCATTAAACAAGGAAAAATAAAACTTGGAAAAATGGGTCAGTAATGGGCCCACCGGTAAATTATATGACAGTTCTGGGAAGAATTAGCAACAACGTTTTAAATGTAAAGGTTTAATTTTCCCTCATCTAATATGTCTCATCTGTCTCTTTTTAATCTTTATTGTGTATTTTCTTTTCTTTCAGTTGTTCTCTTTATTTGCCTGATTTTGTTTAATCTTAAAATGTCTCCCGCAAAGCACCTCACAACTTTTTCTTTGTGAAAATGTCTACATAAATTACATTTATGTAAATGTTATTATTACATTTACATTTACACATCAAAATATCAGAACATGTCAAAATTCAACAAACCTAGTCATTCATTCATATTTTAAGAATGAAATAAAAATTCATTAAATTATTTAAATGTATTTGTTTGATTAAAGTAATTGGAAAATGAAGGTAATAACAAACGGTCCATTTTTACCCTTTACAGTTAAACCAGTTCTCTTATTGTACTGTGTTAAATGTATTCTACTCGTTAAAAAACAATAAAATCAGTATTAGTAATAAAAATGAATCCACTGTGTGACGCACATTCCCTACAATTAACTATTGTCAGTGCATTATGATTTAATGAATACTTCCCCAGGCCTGCTCAAAGATAATTTCTCTTTACCTAAAGTGGCTTTAACTGGATCCATTCAAACCTGCATTTCACTAAATGCTTTTTTTTGTGTAGTGATGTCATTGTAAGTCATGGACAAGTTTGAGCAACAAGCTCTTCGAGACCCTGCTGCTGAAAGAGTCAGATAAGAATATTGTTACAAAAAGACCCCTAAATACATCCTGGAACACAGAGAAGACCGTAATCAAGAAAACAAGGTACCACCAGGACAGCACTGAGCCGTCCATGACAGATGGTGGAGAGCAACAGTAAAACTGATGAAACTGAAACGCACATGAACCATGCACAGAATTGTGGAGGTGAAACTTCATCAAATGCATCATAATTGTGCAAGAAGACAGTCTTGCAAAACCATCAGGGCAAATGTCACCGGTGATATTTTCACATAAATACTTTCTGTTTAGTTACTAACTGGTTTAACACCATTGTGATTCACACCCAAGTCACGGCAGCCTTTACTCTCGTAAACACTGACGTTGCCTGATGGATTATTAACGCATCAAAAAACAGGTAGTTAGCATTAGCAGAAATATCCATTATGTATTAACATACAAAGAAAAATATAAACAGAAACTCCAGAAAACATGACATCACAGGGCCGCCCAAAGTGTTTGAGTGGCAGGTGATATCTGGGAAAGGATTTCCTACACACACAAAAAACAAAACCAAAAACAAAGACACAATCCAAACAGGGGTGTCCCAGTAGCTCAACTGGTAGAGCTCCATGTATTAAAGCTGAGTCATTACTGCAGCAGCCCAGGCTCAAACACAACCTGTGGCCCTTTACTGCATGTACTGTAACCCCTCTTCTGCTGTACTATCCAATAAAGGCAAAATGGCCAAAAACAATACTTTAAAAAACAAAACAAATAAAGGAAGATTTTCATCTTTTAAAAAGAGATGACAGTGACTCCACATGGCCAAATAAAACCACCCAAATAAACCCAAACGCATAAAAGTAATGCAGAAATCATTGAACTGGGCAAAAAGTGAGTCTAGATAAGAGTTCTCCTTTTCATTTTGGGAAGTTTAAACTCTCCTACACAGATAAATGGGAATAAATTAATTATATTATATATATATATATATATATATATATATATATATATATATGTCTGTAGCTGATGGATTTCCCCCCCAAAAGCAAATTCAATATTTGATGGTTGAATGTTTCGAACTGAGGGAATCCTGTGCCAGTTAATAATGTGTGTATCTCTGTTGGTTTGTCTGATCTGTGGCATGTTGGGACAAGATTGTGACTGAGCCGCTGATGACTAGCAGCGAAATGATAAAGTCATGATAAAGCATCACTGCAGGCATTTACTTCAGGGAAGATCTGTTACAACAATAGCATTCCCACGGCTGTTATTGTGGTTCCACTGAAACCAGTGAAATCTTCTCAGTGAGTAAGAAAGGAGCAGATCCAAAATATTCAGGCGTGCAATGACAGCACCGCAGAAACATGAACATCTCTAGGCATTTTATCTGGTATCAAATCAACTTTTTGTAATTTAAGTCAATAAAAAAGCAGAATTTGAATGATCTTTCAAATGTAAACCTGCTTGTTTTGAGACTTTTTAAGTTTGATGAACGGTTTTATTGATAAGTAGTTTAATAATTCAACTTATTTATACAAGATTATAGAAAAACAACAACAACAACAAAAGTTTGTGCCAAAGTGCAAATAAAACCACTTCAAGCGGCTGAACCTCGAATCTGTGCAACAGAGCAATGTGCAGTAAAAACACAAGCCCTTTAGCAAGTAGCACTTCAATTCTTACAGTTTATTTTCAAGCAACTGCTGTCAATATCAAATGTCTTTTTATGTTTGAAGATGTGAAGCAACTGTCTTGCATCGCCCATGTGTTGTTTATGTGAAGCAATGGACTTTAGCACTGTGCTGAGTTTACTCTACCCTAAACTCTTACCTAATATTGTCATTCTATTTATTTTTAATTACACTCTGGCAGTCTTCCTCTGTCATTTTACTTATTTTTCCATGGTAAAAGGTATTTTGGGGCGTTTTCATTCCTGAATCGTGGAGTCGAGGGTTGGACGGTGTAAAGCGCTTCAAGGCAGATTTGAGATTTGGGTCTATATAAATAAAGCCTACTTGACTTGGAAACTTATCATGAACTGAATCAAACCATGTTGTTCAAACCTGTTTATCTTTTATTGTATGATACATCCTCTGCATCTTTCTTGGGCACAAATTCAGCTTGCTAATGTTAAGACAGCTGAGCTACTTCATCTAACTGCTGCATCACACAAATGTGCCTTCAAACAAGCATTTTTTGTGTTTCCCACTTGCTATGAAGCTGTTACAAGTAATAAACCAAAAAAATCATATACATGTTTTTGCTTTTTACCCACTCAAACTTCAGATATGCTGCGTTTGTGGCCACGCTGGCAAACCTGCTGAATTTCCCCTGGTTGACAGTACTTTATCTTCTATGAAGATGATTGCGGCTTAAACATCATTACAGTAGCTCTGGTAGGATTAGGAAGGTGTGGGAGAAGAAACAAAGAGTGAAAGGAGGAGGAAGAGGATGACTCTTACTCCAGACGGTGAGTGTGATGCGGATGTCAAAGTTGCCATTGGGGAAGGTGGAGATGTGGCAGGTGTAGATGCCTTCATCCGACTCCTCCGTGCTGAGGATGAGCAGAGCTGAGTTCTCCGTGGGGCGCCCGCTTTCGAACTGCACCCGGCCCGTGTAACGCCCAATCTCTGATACA